TCACCGGGCGTGTTCATGTTCAGTGTTTCCATGTTTGCCAAATTGTTCTCCAGCATTTACCCTCATTTACCCTCTCAACACTATAATTTCAAGTCTAGCGATTCACTTGTTTAAACTAAGCTCAGTTGCCTTCAATAAAGTGATGATTGCCTGAGCAAAGGACAATATGTCTGAATTTTCACAGCAGGAGAGCGGCTTTAATCAACCCTATCTCTTGTGACTCCAGTAATCAAGGCATTAGGTTTTATTTAAGTGAGGTTTACCCTTTACACTTAAAGTATTGATGAGACTATAATTATGGACTGGTTAATTTTTTTCCTCCCCTGCTGTGGACATTCAACTGCTGTTCCCTCTTACTTACAACAAAAAGATCCATAAGGGAGAGGTATCAAATGAATAATTAGGAGATCCCTGGAGAAGAGGTTATCCCATCTTTTCAGGTATCAGAGGGTGGAAAAAAAAGGATAAATGTGAGAGACGAGAGCTGTCCTGCTCTGGGTCTACTGGATGGAGGGAAATTTCCTGGGAATAACTGTGATGTAATTGAATATTGGACTTGACTGAAATCTGAAACCTCTTGTTTTCCCAGTGGGCTTGGGTCAGGGTCCCAGCTCTGTTTCTTAAGTGGATGCTTAATAATCCTGATAGAATAACAAGGACCATAACTAATATTTATTGAGGGCTAAACACTTGATAATTCTCTCTTTTAATCCTCACAGCAACCCCATGAGGTAGACACCATGATAATTATTCCTATTTTACAGATGGGAAAGTGGAGGCTCAGAGAGCTGAAAAATATGCCTAAAGCACCAGCTATTGCATGGTGGGGCTAGGGCTAAAACTCCGATCACTCTGGCTCAGAGTGTCAAACCACTCTGCCGTAACTCTGACTTCGATTCAAGAACTCTGTTGTTCACCAAACCGACTCCTGGCATCAAATCCAGCCCTGGCATGAACACATGGCTTCAGGAAACACAGCTGTTTGGAGGAGGCAACAGCTGTTCATTCATTTACCACTTCACCAAGCCACACGAATTAAAACACCATAAGGAAAGGTTCACGCGGTCTCAAATACCAGGATAGGTAATTATTGTTTTAATTAAAAAAGAAAAATACCCCCCACCCCCACGCTCAAAACATTTGAGTATTGATTTCTGTAGGAGGTAAGGGAATGATTTGGGGCAGGAAATTTGTGTATATTCTTGATGATAATTCTATATTGTGGAGGTCTGAAAGACAAATCAGGATTTATTCATTCACTCATTTTTAAAGTTTCTCTTTCAACGACTATTTGCTGAACGCCTGCTATGTGCCCAGTGTTCAGCACTGGGACACCCCCAGGAAAATCTCATGTACGAGAAAAAGCTGTCTTATTTCTTTGTGAGAGAGAAAGGCTGCACATCCTTGCATCTGGTAGGGAAAGTTTTAGCTGAATAAAGGTACCAGCTGGATTTCATGAGCTATTTCTCAAATCATCCCCTAAAACCCGTCCTCCCTTAAAGGTTTCCAGTAGCACATGGAAGTGGAAGGAGGGAACAAGTCAACGGTCCTAGAACTCAGTCCTTCTCAAGAACCCAGAAAAAGGGGCACCTGGGTGGCTCAGTCACCTTAAGCGTCTGCCTCCAGCTCAGGTCATGATCTCAGGGTCCTGGGATCCAGCCTGGGATTCAGGCTCCCTGATCAGTAGGGAACCTGCTTCTCCTTCTCCTCCCCGCTTGTGCTCTCTCTCTCTCTCTCTCTCAAATAAATAAAGTCTTTTTTTTTTTAAATGCAGAAAAAGGTACAAAGCATATACCTAGCAGTCAAAGTGGCCAGGTCTGGTAAGTATCTGCCTCTAATTTCCCTTTGGAACATTCTGTCCCCCTCATTGTCTCTGTATTCATTGGCTAGGGCAGCCATAACAGGCCACAACACTGGGTGGGCTTAAACAACAGAAATTTATTTTCTTAGATAATAACAAAACTCTCAAGGAATTGGCAGGGTTGGTTTCTCTTAAAGCGTCTCTTCTTGGATGCAAAAGGCCACCTCCTTGCACCCCTGATGTCTCTCCCTCTTTCATAAGGACACCAGTCATATTGGATTAGAACCCCACCCTTAATTAATTAAGGTAACCTTAATTACCTCTTTAAAAGCCCTGTCTCCTAAAATAGTCATTCTGAGGTCCTGGGGCTTAGGGCTTCCACATAGGAATCATGGGGAGACACAGTTCATCCCGTAATAGCCTCTCTCCCTCTTCCCCAGTGCCCAGTGGTCACATAATGCTTAAGAGAACAAACCGTGGGGCCAGACAGCTATGTGACCTTGGATAAGTTCTTTAAATCTGCCTCCATTTGTTCATCTGTAGTACTGGACTAATAATAGTACCCGTCCTTATTACATACGGTTGTTAGGAGGGTTAACTGAGTTAATATTGCCAAGGACATAGAACAGTGTCTGGTACAAAGTAGACTCAACGTAAGTGTTTATTAAGTTGAACATTAAAACTAAAACCTCATTTTCCTGGAGTGTGAGGAGGGTGTTGTGTTACTCTCCTGAAGAATTCGCTTTTTCTGGACAACACTAATGTCAGTGACGGAACGGCCAATTTGCAATAGGGCAATCATATATTATTGAGGGTGCAGGTCCTCTAATATTCTCCAAAGCAGACTGTTTAGTGACTACATGATCTACTTTAAAGTATTAATAGTAGCCAACATTTATTAAATGCTAACGATGGACCAGATACTGTGCTGAGAGCTTTACCAGAATGATCTCATTTAATTCTCATAAGGTAGGTATATTTTCACTTTACAGATGAGGAAGTGGAGGGTCCAAAAAATCTCATCTCAAGGCCAAGTTCCCCAGTTACTGAATGGAGGGGAGAAGGCCAAAAACTCCAGTCTGAGCAGATTAAGGACCATCAGAGGCAGAGTATTGGCGGGGGGTGGGGAGGGTGTCTTCTCTTTTCTCCACTTCCCATCACCCATCTCTTTTTCCTCTGCTGAGTGACACATCCCCACATCCAAGGCTGCACTCTTTTTGCTACAGAAAACATCCAAGCGGCTGGGACCCAACCCAGCGCCACCTTGTGAGCCTAGCAATTCGAGGGGCAGGCTTCCAAACAGGGTAATAATCGTCCCATTAAAATTAATGTCCATGAAGTGAGCCGTTAAAAGCGTGCAGATTAAAAAGGTGGGGGAGGGAATTGTTCCATTTAAATCCAAAGGGCTTTTCAAATAGACACTGTATCTTCGTTCTTGGAACACTACACCAGGCAATGGATCAGGTCCCCTCTGCAAAGACTAGGGGGGATTAAGGAGGTGAGTCCCAGGAGAGTGAGGAAGTGGTTCTGGCCAGAAGCAAAGGGAACCAAGGTTTATCCAGGGCCCCCTGCTTGCCAGGTGCTTGGCATACATTTCTCTCATTTAATCTCTGCCCCAATCCTGGGAGGGAGGTATTATTATTCCCAGATTACAGGGGGCAGTATAAAACCGTGGTTAAGCGTTCACAGTCTACAGTGTGCTGCCCTAGTTTAGATCCAAGTTCCCTCTTCACTAACTCGGTGAACTTGGGCAAGAGGCCTTACCTCCCTGTGTCTCAGTTTCTTCATCTTAAAACAAGATAATAATAGCCTTTGCCCCCAAGTGTTGGGGGATTTCCTTAAGGCAGCCAGGCAGGGACCAGAGCCCAGTAAGGTGCATAGAAGGCAATCAGAAGGTAAGTGATGCCCGTTGGGGAGGCTAGGAGGTGAGGGCCCACCACCATCACACTGTGGAGCTGGGGTCTGACACCTGACCGTGGGGGGGGAAGGCCAAGGGGAAATCTGTCCTCATGACCGTGGGGGGGGGGAAGGCCAAGGGGAAATCTGTCCTCATGACAAATGCAAATCCTAACGATGTTCTACGTTCGTCGTCCTGAGAATATTTCCCAAGAGACCAGAGGATTCAGGCATTGACAGCCCCGGGGAAGGGGACAAAGTTTCCACATCAGGTCCCAGACTGGTGGCTTGGAGCCGCTTCTGGCTCCTCTAGTTTTCTGAATCCCGAAGTTATCTGAATGCCATTAAATTTAAGATCAGAGAAGGGATCATTATCTCCCCCCAAACCCTGAGTGTCCCTTGCCCATCTGTAGCTTCACTAAGCAGGGACAACTCCAGCCTTTCCAGTCTAAAGTCCCCTGAGCCCCACCTCCTCGTCGGCCCCTCAGGGTCTCCACTGCGCAATAAATCGGGATCGCCGCTAGAAACTGTAACCCGGCAGGAGAACAATATTCACAAGGAAGCAGACAAAAATAAGTTACCTTCCAAAAAGCCCCTTGCGAGAGCCTTTTGGGTGCGCGCCTCTGCGGCTAGGGACCGACCCTTTTAACCCCCCGCCCCGCCTCCATCAAGCGTTCTAGAGGCTCTGGGGGTGCGTTAGGGTCTGGCTGGGAAGCCGCGAGCGGGGTGGGGGCATGTGTCGTTCAAATCCGAAGCCTATAGGTGCCGAGTCAGACCTGAAAGTGGGCAAGTTGGGTTGAATCTGGCTCTCTCATGAGATTTTTCAGTCAATCCCCCTCCCCCAAACAAAACAATAGCCTCGGAATATTTTTGAATAATGCAGCCGAATTCGATATGAGCTTCATCCCAAACGCAAACAAGCCTGCTTCCCTCGCCAAATCGGAAGCGGAGCGGAATTCAGGAAAAAGAGAACGAGAAGGCCTGCCCTCGCGATCTCCGCCTCCGCGGGGGTCCCACGCGACCCCCAAGCCCCGGACCTCGGCGGCGGGGGCCTGGTCGCGTCCCAGCGCGTCGTGCTCCTCCTCTCTCCGACGCGCGCCCTCTTGCTGCCGGCGCCGCTAGGGTTAAAAGTTACCTCTCGGTTTCTTCTGCCTGCAGCCCCCCCCCCCCCGGGGGCCGGATGATGTAACCCCCCTCCCCGCGCCCTCCCCGCCCCCCTCCACCATGTGACACTTTAATTAATAATAGCGCCGTCAGCACAACAAACGCACAACACAAGGAGAAACTTGGTGTCCAGGGGAGGCCCCCGGCGGCTGGAGCGCGGCGGAGGCAGGCGCAGAGGCCGGAGGGAGCGGAGGCGAGGGGCGGCCCGAGCGCGGGGAGGGAGCGAGGCGAGCGGGCATGTGTCCGTGCCCCCTGCACCGCGGCCGCGGGCCCCCGGCGGTGTGCGCCTGCAGCGCGGGCCGCCTGGGTCTGCGCTCGTCCGCGGCGCAGCTCACCGCCGCTCGGCTCAAGGCGCTCGGCGACGAGCTGCACCAGCGCACCATGTGGCGGCGCCGCGCGCGGAGCCGGAGGGCGCCGGCGCCCGGCGCGCTCCCCACCTACTGGCCCTGGCTGTGCGCGGCCGCGCAGGTGGCGGCGCTGGCCGCCTGGCTGCTCTGCAGACGGAACTTGTAGGAACGCGGGGCTTCTTGGTGGGGCCGGAGCCGAGACCCAGCCCGAGAGAGCAACAGGTACGCGAGCGCGCGCCGGGGCGCGGCTTGGGACTGGTCATACCCCGCAGGCTGGGAGCGCCAGAGCGACCAAGTTTGCTTTCTCCTCTTCCCATCTCTTTTTCCCCCTGCTCTCTTCTCTCGCCAGCCTCCTCACCTCCAGTTCCTCTCTCTCCTTCTAAGGGTCAGGTCTGTTCTATCTTCTTTTCTCGACTCCTTGAGCGCATCTCACCAGTCTCCTAGTGGGAGGCTTGGCGGCGGGGACTTTAGCCTCCATAATGCCCACCAGTGCCTCAAGTAAACACACAGTGCAAGTAAAAAGTGTGTTTGCAATGAGGACGTAGTTACCCGCCACGCCAAAGAATTACAATCTGTCGCGGGTTCAAGGCAAGTCCCCCGTCCTCTTCCAAGCCGTCTGCTGTCCTAAGTCGCCAGTCTCCGAACCCTCTTCTCCCTAGGTGGCACTCCCTTGTTCCTCCCGGAGCGCTTCTCTGGACTGCTCCCCATCCAGGTTTCCGGTGGAGCTGTCTTTCCCCTACGGCCCCGCGCACTTTGCAGTTTTTCTCCGCTTTGCCAACTTCTTCGCTCTTTCTGCAACGAGGTGTCCCGTTTAAGGAGCTTGGCCTCCTCTTCACCAGAAGGCTGAAGCTGAGATGGAGAAGGATGCCCCCAAAGTAGGCTGGGATCGGAGGCTGTTAGGGAAACCCCAAAGGGAAGTCTTAATAAAAGAGCATTTATTGAACTCCTTCTAGGTACTAGGCCGTAAATGTTTAGGGAGGGATGTTTGAAAGCTTGCAGCATGCTAGGCACTGCGTGCTGGTGGGCGTGGGGAGTGAGTGTTGAGCGCCCACTGTTTGGTACCAGTGGGAGAAAGGTATAAGCATCTTCTGTGCACTAGGCCCTTGGGGCTGGGGAATTTTTGAGCACTAGCTGTGCGCCTAGGGGACCAAACGTGTAAGGGATTGTCTTCTCAGATTCTGGAACAGAGTAGAACTGCAGAGAATGGGGAAAGAGAGAAAATCAGCCTGAGCCCCACCACAGGTGGATCTAGGGCTGGAAGGTGAAGGTCGAAGGTGAGAAACCCAGCGGCTGGGGGGTGCCACGACCCACAGATGCCCGGCGCTCTGCCCTGGCGAAGCCCTGCCGTGCGCCGACACCCTGAGAAGCTGGCACGGCGCCCGCGGGGAGAGGCGGCAGCCGGAGCGTGGGGGGTGGCAGCGCCCGGGGAGCTGCGGGGGTGCGCAGGGTGTGAGCCGGGAGCGCGGGCGACAGATGTCGCGTGGGCCGGCTCAGCCCGAGCCCTGGCGAAGAGAGGTACGTGCTTCGGGGCGCTCTCTGCCCGGCTCCCGGAGGTCCCATCCGCCACTCCCCCTCGGGGGAGAGGGCCTGTCCTCGGGTCGGAAGGGGCCAGGCTGGGGCTGCCAAATCCCCGGGGCAGGAACTACATTTTGGACGGGGCGGAGAGGGGGATAGGAAAAGGGAGTCCAGAGACAGACGCAAAGCCCAAAGCCTGGAATTTGGGGAAAGGCGGAAAGAAAGTGGAAAGAGAGGGAAAGAAAAAGTGGGCGGCGAGACCAGGAAAGGGAAGATGGGGGGAGCTGGAGAGTAAGAGAAACTGCCTGGAGAACAAGTTGCAAAAGATAGTGGGAATGTGAATTAGAAGCAGTATGCACGCGAGAGGAACCCAGTAGGAGGGCCAGGCCAGGGCTTCCTGCGGTCTTGGGGTCCAGGCAGGCTGGGAGAGCGCTCCCTTCCCGGGACCGGGCGGTGCGGGATGCTGGGCGCCCGCCGCGGGGGCGCACAGGCCGAGTGCTCGTCAGGGCTGGGGGTCCTCCAGCGCCGCGGGAGGAGGCTGCCGGCCGGGAGGGGGCGGGAGACCTCGGGTAGGGCTCGCGGGGAGGACCCAGGGTGCCTCTCCGCGCCCGGGGCCAGGGGAGGAGCGGGGAGGCAGGGATTCTACGCGGGCAGGGGAGGGGTCCGATGGCAATTTTGCAGGTAATTGGTCATTGTCGGCGTAGGGTTTATGACCCCCTCCTCACTTCGCTTCTGCCCCAGAGTTCCGGGCTGCTTCTCGACTCCAGGCCACCCCTGGGTTCCTCTTCCTCCCGCCTGGCGTCCCCTGCAACCACACCCTCCAGAGTTCTCCCTCCTCGGGTGCCCTAACCCCAGGAAGCCCGGCTCAGCTTTCCTGCAGCGCCGCGCTTCGCTCCCTGGGGACACCGATGGAATTGTGGACCACCCGATTCCTGAGCTCCCATCCGGGGGTTCGCCGGCCTTGGGCTCCTAACCTCGGTCCCTATGCCAGAAACTCGAGTTCTTTTCCCGCCGCCTACTGCCTACAGCTCCGGCCTTGCGAGTGCGTTTGACTTAATTGGGGGGAAACCCATGTTTCCCCTAGGCTCTCCCGTAACTTAGGAAGAAGTGAAAGAAAATCCATGGAGAAAGTTTGTTGAGTTCCATGTGTGGTCCTCTCCACCCTTCCTACCCTAGAGAAGTGAGAATGCTTGTAGGAAACCTTCAGTATTTCCGGGGCCGGGGGCGCTGCGTCAGCCCTATAGGGCAGGCAATTCTTCTCTCAGGTGTTAAGGGTGAGCTTGGCCATGTGGACAACAGTGTCAACAAACTTGTCCTGAGCCTCATCTGTGAGCCAGCAATGCATCTTTCAGAAGTCATTATTAAATAAACACACACACCTGTTACTAAGTGTTCCCCATATTTTAAGTGGGGACAATAATAGTACTTTATGGCAAAGGTGTTGTCATGAGGGTGAAATGAATTCACATCCAGAGAGTTCTAGAACAGTGCCAGATGCATAAGAAGCAGATACAAATGTGAGCTATCATGCTTATGATTGTGCATGTAATAGTTTCCTTTCCCAGAGCACTGTTAGGGGGGCAATTCCCCACCATCCCTACATGTCCTCTTGGGGAATCAGGGCCAGCCCGGCCAGGATGGCACAGTGGGAAAGCATGACTTTAGGCATCAGACGGGACTGGATTTAAGTCCCAGCTCAGAAACTTGCGGGCAGTGTGACCTTGGGTAAGAACCATAAACTTTCTGAGCCTAAACTGGAGCTGTACCTCTTCTAGGATTGTTGGAAGGCTGATCGGAGAGCGTCCATTTAAAGTGCCCAGTGCAGGGACGCCTGGGTGGCTCAGTTGGTTGGACGACTGCCTTCTGCTCAGGTCATGATCCCGGGGTCCCGGGGATTGAGTCCCACATCGGGCTCCCAGCTCCCTGGGGAGTCTGTCTCTCCCTCTGACCTTCTCCTCGCTCATGCTCTCTCTCACTGTCTCGCTCTCAAATAAATAAATAAAATCTTAAAAAAAAAAAAGTGCCCAGTGCAGGGGCTGCCTGGGTGGCTCAGTGGGTTAAGCCTCTGCCTTCAGCTCAGGTCATGATCTCAGGGTCCTGGGATCAAGTCCCGCATCGGGCTCTCTGCTAGGCAGTGAGCCTGCTTCCTCCTCCTCTCTCTCTCTCTCTCTACTTGTGATCTCTCTCTGTCAAATAAATAAAATCTTAAAAAAAAAAAAGTGCCCAGTGCAGTGCCTGGCACTTAGCTCACTCATCAGAGGCTGTTACGAAATGGATAATGCCATTCTTATTATTTCAAAGAGGAAACTGAGGCAGAGAGGGTTCACTTGCGTCCCAAAGGACTGGTGGCAACATCAGAAATTGGGGCATACAGGCCCCCCCAGATAATTTGGGGGGTGCAGGGGAGGAGAGGACTCGGGACAGCAAGCAGAGGGGGTGATGAGCTGTGAATTCTTGCACTAGCGAGATTCCCTTTCTGCGAGAGCCTCAGGGGAGGCTCCTTGGAGGCAGAGGAGGCCAAGAGGAAGATGGGTGTGATTTAACCCGTCACTGAGCAGCAAAGATGCAGGAGAGGGAACAAAAGATGCTTTCTGGTGAGCACTGGCTGGCGGGGGCGGGGAGAGGGAGAACTGTTCCTTGGGAGGGGGCAGGGAGGGAAAGAGAATACAGCCAGGGAATCTGGCTGGGAGAAAGGGGCACTGGTGGACAGAATCTTGCCTTGGGACTAAGAACAAGGGGAGGAAGAGGACTCTGCAGGCCCAGAAGGCGACATGGTCAGCAACAAGGAAGACAACGGGCCAGCAGCAGCCTGCTTTAATGAATTAATGAAGGCCTGGCCTGCCAGCCAGACATGCTAACTGGTTCTTGGCAGGTACTTAGGGGACTAAGTAGTTAAACCCGTAGGCTCATCCCTCCAGCCTCCCACCCAGCCTACTGCATCCCTGCCAGGATTACTTCTAGAGCCTGAAAGCCTAGACCAGGGGAGGGAGCAATCCAAAAGGAAGGAGACAGCTGTTGGGGAGGTACCCCCCGGGAAGGGGCCAGATGTGCAGGACCTTGGCAGTCTGCCCACCACATGGTCCCTGTCTGGAGTCACCCGCTTGCCTAGCGAGAGGCCAGGGCACAAGTGACTAAGCTGTCAGAGTAAAAACAGCTGCACCCGGGGATAATTAAATACACCCCCAGATGTGGGCTGCGTGGATTTGGCAACCTCTGGTTTTTGACAGGCAGCTTTTCAGACCTATGGAGGGAGGGATGTGGGGGCTTCTGTTTTCCCTCTGGTCATCACCAGTGTTAAGTGCGATAGGATTTCATGGGAACAATGGAATGCCCCACCGCGTGTGACTTGCTTGTCGCAGAGTAGGTGTGCAATGATTATGTAATGGATAGATGTATCAGTCAGAAACTATGCAAGATAGGTAATCCCAAATTCAGCTTCTTTCACTTACTAATCATTATGGAGGACCTGCTAGGTGAAGGGCATTGTGGTGGTCACAGGAAGGACCATGACATAGAAGGCCGGGCCCTCGTGTACATTTTAGTGGGGAAAGACCGATGATAAGTTAATACAGATTGTTCTGGTTACTATTGCTCTATAACTAGTTACTCCAAATCCTCATGGCCTAAAACAATTGTCTGATTATGCTTACACATTCTGTGCATTAGGGATTCGGACATGGCATGGGGGTGACCTGTCTCTGCTCCAG